TCTTCTGCTTTGCACAGAAAGCAATCCTGAGATGTGTGCGATATTATGATCACATAAACGTTAAGTGTGGACATTGTAGAAGGAGGTAAATCTGAGCCAGGCCGAAGTAACTAATATAAGCTTACGAAGCAGAGTTTTGTTTTGTTTTGTTTTGTTTGTGGATAGCCCAGTCCACTGTGGGGGCAGGGCTGGCCCAACATGTGGTGCCGCGGATTGAACCCTGCTTCCTGCACTTGCTTAATCTTGTCTAAGCAGCTGCCTTAGGCGGCTGAGCTGTCTCACCAGCCCAAGATTCTTTATTAAATGGAGTTAGAAAAAAAAATGTGAGCAGTTTGTTTGTTTGGTTGAAATGCAGAACAAAATTGGGCAATAATATATAAACTAGAAATCCTAGTTAAGCTGATAGAGAAGAAGGATTAAAAGTCATAGAGTGGGCCAGCCAGATAGCTCAGTGGATTAAAGCACCTGCTTAGGCAGACACAGGAACCAGGGTTTGGTCCCAGCATGCAGCGCTGGCCCCGCCTCCGGGGCACACTGAGACAGAGAATGAGACTGGGCATGGTGGTGGGCGCCTGTACTCCCAGTGCTTGGGAGGCTGAAAACAAAGGGATCACTGCAATTCCAGTCTGGGTAGTGAGACCCTGTAGACCCTGTGCTACATACATTTGAAAGATAAATAAGTAAAATAAAAAATGTAAAAAAAGCTTTACAGAAATTAGACTGTTAGAGTTTCTAATTTAAGCCTGCGTTATATATGGTACGATTGTAAATAAAGCATAGCTTTACCACAAGCATGAAAAGAAGTTGTTGTATGTTACGGGTCGGTGCCGAAAGAAACGACGAGAAGACCTGATGAATGTAGCTTCAGAGGTCTCACTGAGATGAGTCTCTCTCCAAGTGAGCCCAGAGCCTCAGAAGCATCTCACTTTTATTGAGGGGTAAAGGCAACTTAGGAATGTGCATAATTACCTAAGTGAATACAAACTACTGTATCTATTGACTTCCACCATTTGCCTAGCACTAGGCTCACCCAAATGCTAGCCCATAACATCCCAAGCAAGGGATCAAAGGACAGGGCGCCTGCAGGAGAAGCTGTTATCTGCTGCCTTGGGTCCCAGCTTGCCGGGAATTTGCAAACAGACAGCAACCCTCCTGGGCTCAGTCCAGGGTTCCCTGCTCTCTTGGGACATCAGGCTTTTGTCTCAAATCTGTGTCTCTACAAGAAGTGACTTTGTGAGCTGAGCCCAGGCATCACTGAAGAGCGCTACAACCACAGTTCTCCACAGGACACGTCTAGTGCTGAGAGTGAAGGTCACTGACTTGGGGAACGACAACGGGACAGACTGGATCGCACATGTTGAGGGCCATCTGGATCGCTGCTCGCGTGCCAGAAGCAGAGTGGGTGAGGTCACGCTAATGGACAGCAGATTCACAGTGGCCCTCAGAGAAGCAAGGGGGAGCCACGCTGAGGTGCCGGCTACGTGGCTGCGGTGTTGCTAGAAGTAGGCAGAAAACAAGCCTGCTGAGTTACGGCTTAGGATGACTAGCGCATAATATCTGTACAAATCAGTGAGTGTCATTGTGGCATTTCAGATGTGCGTATAATATGCTTCAACTACATTCATCCAATCAGTTGCAGGCCTAAATATAATAAAAATTGATCTTCACGGGTAAGAGGAATTCTCCAAAAGAGTGCTTGGACCAATTGCAGCAGCATTTTTCTGGGGTTTTTTTTTGTTTGTTTGATTGTTTGTTTTGTTCTTTTGGGGACTGTTCTTGGGTCTTGTACTTGCCAAGGGGCACTTATCCTGCTGAGCTGTATTCCTGGCTCTCATCATCTCTTCTGGATCTTCTCTCCAGTTCTTCCAAAATGCTCCATCAGCTCCCACAGGTTCTGTCTGTTGGTCTGTTGGCCAACACTACAGATCTGGACCTGCCAACCTCCATAATTAAGTGAATCAGTTCCAATAAATGCCTAAAATTCATTCTCTCTCTCTCTCTCTCTCTCTCTCTCTCTCTCTCTCTCTCTCTCTCTTTCTCTTTCTCTCTCCCTCTCCCTCCCTCACTTTTTCTCTCTCCACCCCTCATGTATATCATGTTTCTGTTGGGAACCCTGACTAACATAATTATTTTTAAAACCTATATGAAAATCAAGAGGTGCACAACAAAGGGAAAAATGACTTCAAAAGGGAACATTGCAAATTGTACTGTAAGGTTTGAGGGACATGATATGTAAGATGAACAGAGAACAAATAGTAAAATGCCATAAGTAAATACTTCTTATCATTAAGTATTCAATCTGAAAGTGTATTAAACTCTCCAACAATGATAGAAAATGCAGAGTAGGAAATATGACTAAACTGTATTCTCTACCAAAGACCTTCTCACATTCAAACACACAGAAAGTATAAAAGTGAAAGATGGAAAAAACTAGCATTCCATGCAACTTGGAATTCCATGACAAATGAAAGCTTATTATTAGACCAAATGGACTGTGAATTTAAAATAGCTAGAGGGGCTGGGGAGATGGCTCAGTAGAGTAAGCGCTTGACTGGCAAACGCAAGGATCTGAGTTCAATCCCTGGTTCCGAAAAAAAAAAAAATAGCTAGAAAGGAAAATAAAGGGTTAGCCAAACAGCTCAGCAGATTAAAGCACCTGCTTAGGCAGACACAGAGGCCGGGAGTTCCGTCCTGCCAGCCCCGCCCCTGGGGTGCACTGAAATAGCAATTGAGACTGGGCATGGTGGTGCGCACCTATAATCCCAGCACTTGGGAGGCTGTAAACAGGTGATCACTACAAGTCTGATCTACACAGTGAGACCCTGTAGACCTGGTCCTAAATATAAAAAGGAGAAGGAGGGGCTGGGGAGATGGCTCAGTGGAATAAGCACTTCCCTGGCAAGCGCAAGGGCCTGAGTTCAATCCCCAGTTCCGAAAAAAAAAAAAAAGAAGAAGAAGAAGAAGAAGAAGAAGAAGAAAATAGGAGGAAGAGGAAGAAGAAGAAAAAAAAAAAAAAAAAAGGAGAAGGAAGAGGAGGAGGAGGAAGACTAGGATGAGAAGGAGGGAAAATAAAGACAGAAGATGAGAGAAGTATCAGATGGAAGGATCAGATACTGAGGAAAATAGAATTAAAAATGGTCAACTAACAAAAGGTGTCCAAAGCAATTGCCAACAAAATTGAAGTGAGAAATAGATGGTTTGAAAGCAATAGATCACAACTGCTGTGCTTCACTTTGGTGTTGAATAGAATGGCTAGGCAGAAAGCACCTTGCCAAGAACTACGGAGACACAGCAGTGTTTTTGTGAATTTCTTATGGTTCTCATAACAAATTCCTACAAATTTGGAAGTTTACAAGTTATGGTGGTCTGGGTTTGCAAGAGAATGGATTTAATGCAGGACAGATAATTTATAGGATTATTTTATATCCACCCAAAAAGTCAAATGCAGAAGGGTGCAGGAGATTTGTCCACACACTAGAGACCCACAGAGTCCAGCTGAGGGCCTGGATCCCACGCACAAGTCCTGCTGCAGGATTGCTCCTCTGCGAGTCTACCTGGAGGCCTGTGCTGGTCTGTACCAAGGATGTGCCCTGGGAAGGCGCTAGGTCAGCGGGAGAAGCTAGGAAGTCTGCGCCAGCGGGACGAAGGATCTGTGCCGGCAGGCCGAGGGGTCTGCATGAGCCAGGAAGTGATGCTCAAGCTAAGGACCAGAGCTCCCCCAGAGAGCCACAACCATCCTCAGTGACAGCAAGGACTGAGTTCACCTGATGATGAGAACAGCTGATTTTGCATCAGGAAAACCAGCGTGACAAGCTTCTCCAGGAGAGGCAAGAGCACCATCTGCCCTCCAGTTCTCCTTTTATGCTGTTGACAATAATCCTCAGTCTGGCCTTCCACACCCAGAACCAGGCTGACTCAGTTTAGCTGGGTGTTTCCTGGTGACCAATAGTTCATCCACAACACAAACATGTGTTTGTGGTACATAATAATTACTGTCATCTTGAGGAACTATGGACATATATATCGCATCTTAGCCATTTTTCCTTCCCCCTTTCTTTCCCCTCCCCATCTTCTCTCTTCTTCTGTGTCAGATTGTTTTACAGTTCTGGAAATCAGAAGTCTGAAATAAGTCTCCCTGAGTGGTCATCAAAGGTCTGTCCAAGGCAGGGCTCTTTCATGAAATCTAGGTGAATAGATGCCAGCTCCTCTTTAGTGTGTCGTTAAATTCTTCTAGCTCAATTCATGAAGATCCATTCAGCAGCCTTTGGGCTGCAGAATTATAATCCAAATAATCTCTTAACCCTGAAATTCTTAACTTTGTTGAAAAGTTTCAGAAATTAGTACATGAATCTTTTGGAGCTATTACCGAGCTCGAGGAAGTGTCATGCATGAAACTATTCATTACCTTTGGAAATACTCCATACATAAAATAGCTCTAAAACTCACAATTAAACAATTAGAAACACTTTCAAGAGGAACCATATGATCATAGGTCCAGGTGCTACATGACCTCTGCACTGGTTCTACCATGACTGTCTTAGCATATCCAATCCCAAAGTGCAGAGTGACTATAAATGTCATGAGGGAAGGATTCGCTGACATAGTATGATGTCTGCAGAGACTTGAAGAGAAAGAAAATCTTGGAACTAGAAACAGCAGGAGCAGAGGCCCTGGGACTTGGACTTGGTATTGCAAGGAAACGAGGAGGAATGAATGGCATAAAACACTAGGGGTACAACAATAAGGAATTGAACTCAATTCAAAGTTGAATGATCAGCATTAATGTCAAGGGGCTGGCAAGATAGCTCAACGGTTTAAACTGCCTGCTTAGGCAAGCTTAGGCAGGTGCAGGGGACCTCCGTTTGACCCCCAGCACTACATGCCACGCCAGCCCTGCCCTCATAGTGGGCTGAGCCAGCAAAAAACAACAACATTAATAATGTCAAATTATTTGCCAAAATATGTAACATCTTGAAATAACAAAAAGAAAATCCTAAGGATTATTTTGCCCCCAAAACAATTTTTGTGAATGCGTTCTTCACCTCCTTGTTCCTCAGGCTGTAGACCACGGGGTTCAGCATGGGGATGACCACGGTGTAGAACACAGAGGCGATTTTGTCCGTGTCCATGGAGTGCCTGGAGCTGGGCTGCAGGTACATGAAGACGACAGTGCTGTAGAAGACGGAGACGGCGGTGAGGTGGGAGGCGCAGGTGGACAGAGCCTTCTGGTGTCCTGTACCTGACTGCAACTTCAGGAGAGAGATAAAGATCAGTACATAGGATATTAAAACAACAGTAAGAGCAAAAAAGATATTGAAGGTTGCTACATAAATAAGAACCAGATCGTTGGAATGTCTGTCAGAGCAAGCGAGAGCCATGACAGCTGGAATGTCACAGAAAAAGTGGTGGACCACATTGGTGTTACAGAACGAGAGGCTGAACGTGTTGCCGGTGTAGATGGAGGCGCTCAGGAAGCCGCAGGCGTAGCAGCCGAAGAGCAGCCCTGCGCACACACCCGCTGTGACAGTGGTGGGGTAGTGCAGGGGCCTGCACACCGCCGCGTACCGGTCGTAAGCCATGGAGGCCAACAGATAGTTTTCCACAGTGGCGAAGCCTGTAACAAAGAACATCTGAGCAGCGCAAGCGTCATGAGAGATGACTTGGTCTGCTACCCTAAAGCTGGCCCACACCGTGGGAGTGACCGCGGAGGAGTAACAGAAGTCCACCAGCGCCAGGTTCCCGAGGAAGAAGTACATGGGGCTGTGCAGACTCGGGTCCAGGAGGATCAGCAGGACCAAGCCCAGGTTCCCAAGCACAGTGATGGCGTAGATGAGCAGGAAGGTGAGGAAGAGGGGCAGCCGCAGGCGGGGGTCGTCGGTCAGGCCCAGCAGGAGGAAGGCTGCCACCTGTGTCCTGTTCTCCATCAGTGCTGTCTGAGACTGTCAATATTGTGTAGGCTTAGGAAGAAAGGAACGAAATAATAGAGATTGAATTGAAAAATGGAAAGTATGAGTTGTCGTAATAGTTTGTATTTCAAGATGTTAATGGATCACCTAGTAAATTATAAAAAGTTACGTATTTGTGTACGTAGTTGAGGAAAGATGGAAAGTCCGTGAGTCTCTCTTCGTCTCAGTCCGCCTGAGCTCAGCAGAAGTGTACTCGCGCGTTTCTCGCTGCCTGAGCTGCCGCAGACTCTCACGACGCGCGCTGCTCATCGCTGTGCAAAGCAGCGAGCGCGATTCCTTTCAGGTCCTTGTAACTTGGGAAGCGCGGGAGTCTGAGAGATTCTCCTGCCCTCGCAGAGCTATTTGCCAGTGTCTGCTCCGGGCTGGACCCGCGTTCAACCCGTGCTGAGTCACTTCTAATTCTGATGGTCTAAATTGAGTGCAAATCCTAATTAATTTAATGCAATTTATAATTACGCCTTGTCTTGGGTTTTTAGATTTTTTTAAAGAGAATAAGAAATAGTGAAAAAAAAGAGAACCTTATAAGTGATATAAAATTTCACTGAACAAAATAGGAATTCAACAATGGTTGTTATTGTCTTCAAATTAGCTGTTCAGATTACCAGATATAGGCAGGCAAAGTGGTTTTTAAAAAGTTATAAAAATTTAAAAAGGAGTGAGAAAAAAATTTAATCATTAACTGTTCCTTTTAATAGACCAGCAGAGATCAGCAGTAGAATTACCCAAGTGGGGCCGGGGAGATGGCTCAGTAGAATAAGCGCTTGCCTGGAGAGCTCAAGGGCTTGAGTTCAATCCCTGGTTCCACCAAAAAAAAATTTACCCAAGCTATCCTGTGTCTATACATATATATTTCTTTTTCCCTTCCTCCTTTCCTTTTTGCTTCTTTCCTTAATACCAGTTGTTCCTTCCTTTGAACCATTTCTTTCCCTTTCCCAGTATCCACTGTACCTTTCAGATTTTGTTTATTATTTCAGGTCCCTACACAAGTGAGACACCATGATGTTTACACACGTGGGTCTGATTTAGTTCACTTGTGAGTATGGTCTCTAGTTGTATCCATCCTTGTTTATACTCAGCATTTGGGATTTCATGATGAACTGGGTATATTTATTAAATGTTTTGTTCACTATATGTTTGCCTGTCTTTAGAGGGAAAGCAAACAATCAAAAATCATAAGACTATGTTCTTGTTAAAACATGTTCTCTGCTTCATTACTGTTAGGTTGCACTCAAATTATAGGCATGATCCTTATTCCAATCACAAGTATTCTACATGAATAAGCTTTGAATTATATATTTACCTTGCCCTATACTCACGTGCTTATGCACACATTTGACAGCAGCCTGGTTAATAACAGAAACTGCTGATTAGCTTCAGGAAGGTTTGAACTCTGAAATCAATGTAGTGCAACTCTCAGGGTAGTGAGCTGGTGAGGTGCGACAGCCAGGCGATGGGAGCATCAGTAAGGCATAGTGGACAGAGCCTGGGGCCCTGGGGAGACACAGACCAGAGCTACCATTCAGCACCCAGGAATCGTGGCTCCTAGCAAAACTCCTCGGACCCTCTGTTTCCACCTGCACGGTGAAGGCAGCAGCGAGATCTGCTTTGAAGTATTCTTGTGAGAATGAGATAAGATCATGCATAAAAAACAAATACCAGGCTGTTGAGCATTCCCAGTGTGATGCATGCCAGCTATCATGCTGTAGTTAGGGTGGCATAATGAGCTTTATGTTGGCTTGATTTGGGGGGATGCTGGCTCAAACAGCTTCCATTATGGAGGGATTTGAAGTCTTAGAGCTTCCCTCACTGACTTTCCTTTCCTCCTGCCCACTGAGATTTTCTGTGCTCACCAGTATTTTTCCGTTGGTTCTTGTTTTGAGAACATGATTATTACTTCTGCAATTTCATGTGGGCCATTCTTTTTCAAAATGTCTTTCTTGACATCCATATTTTAATTAGGAAAAACGAGTGTGTTCTTGTTAAAACATGCTCTTCCCTCCATTGCTGCTAGGTTATATTCAAATTACAGGCACTGAGGATTAACATCTCCCAGGTGATGAGTTGTGATTCTCCTCCAGATCTTCATGGATGACAAATTCCATGTTTTAAAGTATTAACTCAAATGTCTTTGTATAATGACACTACTTCACATTTCTTTTTAGCACTGAAATTTTCATAAGGCTACAGCACAGAACTAACAACTATCCCCTCCTGGTTTTCTCCAAAGCTATTGACAACTTCAGTTTATGAGGCTGTAGTGAAACCACTATGGCCACCGGGCTTAGGCCACATGATCGTGTTTAGCACACTGAATTCTACGGCGAAGTGCAATGGATATACACAGAAATGGTGTGCACATGTGTGTGGGGAGGTGTGACATCACTCCTACTTTATCAGTGAGGATTCAAGAATTTGGGAAGAGAGGTGATGCTCTAAAATTGTGCAGGCAGTGTGGGAAACACTGGACTCAAGTATTAAAGCTTCCTTCTAGGAATAAGCACGTGTGCTGTTCAGAGGACTGCCGTGGACTTCAGTGCCATTAGCACAGTTCTACAGCTTAAAGAAAAATGATTTCACTACTCTAGATTTTTGTGTCTGCTTTCTAACTTCTGAGATGAGATTCAGATATGTACTGAATAAAATATAATTGTTAAAGAAAGCATTTATCATATTTTTTCACATTTTGGGAAAAGAAAGTATTTCATATGAATAAAGTATGTATTAGACACATGGACATTTATCTACTCAAATCATCTCCATTTATGAAAGTATTGTGCAAATCTCTCTATCTCTGTTTCCAAATAACTTGTAGGTATAGACAGTCTCCTACTTTTGCATGAATCATGATTTTAAAGATACTGTACGAAATATAAAAGTTTGCCAATTTTCTGGAGAAAGGATGTTAACGTGGACCAAGTTCTAAATCTGTAATTAATTCAATGTCCAGGGAAGAATCACTCACCTCTTCCACAGATGAAAAGCAAACATTGAGCTGCCCCTCTCACATAATCCACTGCCGATGTCTGTAACACCAAGGAAAGAGGTCGACAAAGCATCTCAAGAGGACGGCACGGGACTGCAGTGCCAGAGCTCTGAGCCCCGCCTGGGCGGTTGAATGACTTAGCAATATCCTCTCTCAAAATAAAAAATAAAAGTGCTTAGGGATGTAGTTCAGAGTAGAGGCCCCGGATTCAATCCCCACCAATACAAAAAAAATTTTTGAAGAGGGTTTCACTCATGTATTTTTATGTCCAGTGCTTTCTCTGATCATAGTCGCAGGCTCCTGAGGTCTTAGGACAGAACCTCCTGCTTATGTCAACAATGATTATCACACAAATGACCAAGCTGTTTCCATGGAGCATGGTGTACACTGAGCTTCTCCTAAAAGAGTGTGATAATAAGTCATATTAAGGCCACAGAAGTCTATGCTTGGGGTTTTGGAGATGATTACACAGGCTTGAAGGCCCCCGGAGTTCCCCTGAGACTGTCTAAAGCTCCTCATCCTGACTTCCCTGGGCACAAGCAATTAAGATGCCTGTAGAGATCAAGCTAGCTAAAGCCTATTTACATTTAAATTTATTTGTAGTGACAAATGAAGATATACATACTCTATATATCCATTATTGATGAGATGTGTCTGTCTTGGTGTATATTGAGTGTGGTTCAGATAGGATGAAATATGTCTATCTCTCAAACATTTGGGATGGGCCTATAGCTCAGTGGCACAGCGCGAGGTCCTGAGTTCAGTTCCTGGTAGCAAAAAATGTTATTTCTTTGTAATATAAACTGATAAATTGCCATTAATACTCCTTAAAATATGCCTGCTTATCTCAGACACACTTATGCCATCATGATTGCCACTTTCCGAAACAGTTCTGGAAGTACCCCAGTTTATTTGTTTGTTTGTTTGTTTGAAAAAAAGGTCTCACTAGATAGTTCATCCTGGACTTGAACTTGCTGTGGAGCGCAGGCTGGCCTCAAACTCATGGTCATCTTCTTGCTTCAGCCTCTCAAGAAGCCTCTCTGGAATTACAGGACCGCACCACCACAGCTGGCCTCCTGTGGTTGCCTTAATATTCAGAATCAATTCAAAACTTTACATTTCATGAGCATTTCAACTTTGGGGAAGAGCCAGAAGTCATTTGGTGTGAGTTCCTCTGAATAAAGTGGATGAGGACACACTATCTATCATGCTGTGTGGGAAATTGTTCTAAACATTTTTTAAAAATCCAGGCATTGAGGCAATCATGACAACACAGCAAAAGACACTTGTAAAGAGGACTTCCACCAACTTCAGGAAAAATTTTTCTAATAAAACAGAAACACAGAAAAGATGGACATATTCCTAGATACATATGAATTACTAATGCTAAATCAAGTAAATATAAAAATTCTAAGTAACACAGTATCAGTCAGGTAAGTTGAAGATTTAATTAAAAATTTAGCAACCATGAAAAGCCCTTTTCTTAATGAATTCACAGCTGAATTCTATAAGAAATGTAGAGAAGATCTAATACCATTATGTCTCAAACTCTTTAATGAAACTGAAAGAGAAGCAATTCTACCAAAGCCATTCCTGGAAGCTAGTACTACTCTGATATCAAAATCAGAGAAAGATACAAGCAAAAGGAGAGATACGGGTCAATATCCCTCACAAATAAAAGTAAAGAACTCCTCAGTAAGATACTGGCAATAAGAATGCAGCAAATCATCAAGAACATTGTACATTATGACCAAGTGGGATTCATCCCAGGAATGCAGGGATGGTTCAACATACATAAATCAATAAATATAATATAACACATTAGCACAGCTAAAGACAAAAATCACATGATTTTCTCAAAAGATCAGGAAAAGCATTTGATAAAGTTCAGTATCTATTTCTGATAAAAAAAATGCTACAGAAAATGAGAATAGATGGTCTTTATCTCAACCTAATAAAAGCCATCTATACAAAC